AGGGATAGAGGGGGGGGAATGCAGAGCAGAAACGTGGAATTTCAGCTTAAAATCCTGGAAATCATAAAATTCCAGAATGGTTTGGGTTGGAAGGGACCTTAATTCCACCTCATTCCACCCCTGTCACGGGCAGGGACACCTCCCACTAGCCCAGGTCAAGCAGGGCCAAGCCCCGTCCAACCTGGCCTTGGACACTTCCAGGGATAACATTTCCACACTTCCCAGGGATAACAACACTTCCAGCTTCTCCACAAGGATTTAACAGCAGCCCCCTGCCTTGTTTAATGAGATTTAGGTTGTTCCTAAATCACATCATTAGGGCCATTAGGGTGTGCCTGCAGAATTCCCAGAGAAGTGCTGGAATCACCATCCCATGTGGCACTTGGTGACATGGTTTAGTGGGAATGGTGGCACTCCTGATCCTGGAGTCTTTCCCAACCTTAATAATTCTTTGGGAAACCAGGACGGAGGCCTCTCCCCTCATCCCTGCTGGAACCGTGCCAAGGATGTGCCACGTATCCTTGGGATTACCCATGAAAACTGGGCGGATATAAAGCTGTGTTTGGGAATGTTAAAAAAATATAAAGGAGAAATTAAGATGTTTTTTTAACAAAGGGAAACCAAACGAGGAGCTCAGTTAAGCCGGGGATTAAGTCTGACAAAGCGGGGATTTAAGTGACCCCCTGTTGCAGCACTGGCAAATCCCGTGGGAATGGGGACAAAACGTGGGAATGAGGACCACTGAGCTCCACAGAGAAACAGCTGGACAGTGAGGAAAGGCCCTTTATTTATTGGGAATTTGCTTTATTCCCAGGGCAGTTGATGTGCCCTGTTGAGCCAGGCCTTGAGCCTGGGTTTAAGCAGAGCTGAATTAACCACACTGATGTCTCCCCTCCCTCTCCCATCATCCTGTGTCCCTGAGGGTGGCTTTGCTTTGCATTTCAGGGCCGCTTTCGGCAAAGAATCCGAAGTTCTCATCGGCAACCTGGGCGACAAACTGATCCCTCAGCAGGAGATCCTGCGCGACGTCAGCGACCTCAAGGCCTTGGCCAACATGCACGAGAGCCTGGAGTGGCTGGCAGGGCGCACCAAGGCGGCTTTCTCCAGCCTCTCCACCTCCCAGAGTAAGTGTCTCCCATGGCAGAGCCTTTGCCTTGGAGATGGAGCGGCGGAAATGTGAAATTTGAGCAGTTTTGGGCGCTTTTTGTCGCCGGTTCCGAAGCGGGTTCGTGTCAGAAGGAGGCGGGAAGAGAAGCAGCTTCGTGTCTTTCTTCCTCGTGGGTGCTGGGGTGGGACCTTTGCACTGGAGGGTGACAGGAGCAGCACTTCCAGCTCTCAAAGGCCTTTCCACAGAGACCTCAAAAGTCTTTCCACAAAGACCACAAAGATCTTTCCAGCTCTCAAAAGTCTTTCCATAAAGACCACCAAGGTCTTTCCAGCTCTCAAAGGTCTTTCCACACTTTCCACTTCCCGGGAATGTGCCCAGGGCTGTGGGCAGCCAAGGCTCCTGAGCTCTGATGGGAGCTGGGAATTGAAAATCAGCCTTTTATTCCTGGGCAATGATGAGGGAAATTTGCTGGCGCTGAATAAATCGTGGTGGTGTTTGTCCATTAAAATCATTGTCCCCTGACAGCAAAACATCTCTGGTTGAGTGAAAATCCTTCCCATGGCTCCTAAATCTGCTCTAGGACAGGACATTTAACCTGTTTATTCCAGCTGTCCGTGCTCAGCTCGTTGGGATCCAGAAGGATAATTAAGATTGTACAATCAGTTAACAGTTAAAGCCCCAAATTAATCCATGGAGCTTTAATATTCCAATATTCCAAACCCATATTTTGAGTTCTCAATACCTGGGTGCCAAGACTCACTCTGCTCTCACAGGCTGTGCTTTAAAAAGGGTCTAAACAAATAAAATTTAAACGAAGCCCAGTGGGAAAAAAAAGACCAAACCAAAAAAAAAAAAAATAATAAAAAAAAATAAATAAAAAATTAAATCCAGCTCTCGAACTTCAGCAGCCAAATATTTATTCAGAGATCTTTAGTTACTGGGAGAGTTCTTGGGGTGCAATATTTGTGTTGTAACAGTCAGAGCTGTTAAAATAAAACATCATTTATAACTTCAGCTCTGGTTGAAACCCTTGGGTTTTTTAAATAAATCAATATTTCCCTGACATTAAAGGGGACTTTGAGGCTTGGTGAGGGGCCCTTCCACACAGCAGTGGATAAACATAAAAGCACAGGGTGGAATATTCCACTTGGCAGCCTCTTCCTGACGAGAAAAATCCGTCTTCCTCTGGAAGAACTTCCTAGTAAAACGTCTGTACAATTCCAGGAGTATCTGGAATGAGGGGAAGAACAAGCAGTGCTGGATGGACTTTAAGGTTCCTTCTCACCCAAACCATCCTGGGACTCCATGATTCCATGAGATGATCCCTGTCTGGCCTTGGGGTTATAATCTAAGTCTGACCCAGGGAAAGGTTTCCAGCAGAGCCGTTAACTCCAAAAGGAAAAACAGGAGGAATTTCTTCCTGGAAAGGGTGGTCAGGCATTGGAAGGTGGTGGAGTTCCCATCCCTGGAAGTGTCCAAGGCCAGGTTGGAGCAACCTGAGATAGTGGAAGGTGTCCCTGCCCATGGCAGGGGGTGGGATGAGAGGAGTTTTCCAGTCCCTCCCAACCCAAACCATCCTGGGATTCTCCGATTCTAAATAAGGGGGATTTTTATCACATAACTTTAATCCGAAATATTCCAGTTCAGTGCAACTGGGATTGGTTCCTCTTGCACAAACCAACGTGTCACCCATCCTGCTTTTTGGGCAGGTGGCACTTTTTTAATATTCCTTTGAGCAGCTCTGCCTTCTGCTTTCTGTTTCTCCTTGGACCAGCTATTCCACTGAAGTGTTTGTGCTTGAACAAGAGCAGTAATTTCATTACCTGGGGGTTTTTCTTCCCTGCAGGATGAGAACACCCATCCAGCTCTTTGATCCTTTTGTCTTTTCTGTCCCAGCAACTGGAAATTAAATCCTGGTCCCGCTCAGGGCATCATCCAAACGTTTAGTGAGGGATCAGAACCAGAATTTTTGGTGCAGTGCCACAAATCCTGTGATCTCCAACCAGTCCATGCTGTGGTGGTGGCGGCCCTGAGTCCCTTTCCCTGCAAGAAATCGTGATCTTTTTCCAGAAAAGGGCAATTTCTGGGCACAGCTATAAATATTCAGGCAGCCCCAGGTGGAGCTGGGCAGGTTTTGGGAAATCCTGAGCAGGTTTTGGGAAATCCTGAGCAAGGAAATCCTGGCTTTTTTTGGTGAATCTGTCAAAAGGCCCCTTCCTAGAGATTTTGGGAAATCCTGAGCAAGGAAATCCTGGCTTTTTTTGGTGAATCTGTCAAAAGGCCCCTTCCTAGAGATAAAAATCCAATAACCCCTGACTGTGGACGTGCCCCAATTATCACTCATTGAGCAGCAGACTTGCTAATGGAGTGTTTTGTCAGGCTGGGAGCAGCCTCTGCATTCTTCATTATTTAGTGTTTGCTCAGCTGATGGCTCTCCCACAGCTCTTCCCTTATCTGCACTCCCTCACAATTGGATTTTGTATTTCCCAAACCCATCAGATAGGTCTTCTGAGGGAATACAAACTTCTTTTTCACAATAACCCCTTAAGGATTCAAGTTGCCGGGAGAGGGTGAATTTATTGAGGAAGGCAAGTCCATTTTAAATGGGTTTTATATGAAAATGGAAGTCGGGTTTTCCCTCTTCCTCTCCTACTTCTCTTGCCTTGTCAGATGCAGATGGAACATCCCCTTTCATCCTTTTCCCTCGTGGAGCTCCTCAGATTCTCTACATATTTGACAGAGAAGGGGTTACTATGCACAGTGAAGGATTTGGGAAGTTTTGAAGGTGAAGGATTTGGGAAGTTTTGAAGGTGGTC